AGATTTTGAGTGGCAACCTCCTTCCATCAGCAAGGGCATTGAAGATGAAACGTGGCTGGGTCTTTCAGTATGACAATGATCCCAAACACACCGCCCGGGCAACGAAGGAGTGGCTTCGTAAGAAGCATTTCAAGGTCCTGGAGTGGCCTAGCCAGTCTCCAGATCTCAACCCCATAGAAAATCTTTGGAGGGAGTTGAAAGTCTGTGTTGCCCAGCGACAGCCCCAAAACATCACTGCTCTAGAGGAGATCTGCATGGAGGAATGGGCCAAATACCAGCAACAGTGTGTGAAAACCTTGTGAAGACTTACAGAAAACGTTTGACGTCTGTCATGCCAACAAAGGGTATATAACAAAGTATTGAGATCAGTGTTTCCGCCAGACCAGGGCTGAGAGGGCGTCCACCCCGAGAGCGGGGGGGGGTTGTTTTGAATTTTGACTTGAGCCGTCCCTTATAGATAGTCTTTTTACGTTAGTGAGTCGGATCATTTTGCTCGGCTCTCTTAAAGCGCCGGCTGTTTCGGCTCCAAAACGGCTCTTCATGTTACCACAGTTTAACACGGAGCCTCAGTTTCGCCGCTGCGACGCTCTGTTGCTCGCAGCTCACGTGCGTGCTCCACTAAAACCCCCCCGCTCATCGCGTCCAAATCGCGCACGTTCCGTGTTGTCCTGTGGCAGGCACCTTCGATGTCGGGGAATCAATCTTCAATACTCCGAAAATAATCCCACCAGACTCCTTTGCCCCTCCAACAGCGGGATGTCCTTGTCCTTTTTCGTCATTTCAAGCGATAAAAACTCTCGATCTTCTCTCGAATTATTAATATTTTTGGACGCCCTCGGCTCGCATTCAGGGCGTCCCGAGCTGAATAAGGGCGTCAAATGACGGCAAGACGGCCCCCTGGCGGAAACGCTGATTGAGATAAACTTTTGTTATTGACCAAATACTTATTTTCCACCATAATTTGCAAATAAAGTAAAAAATCAGACAATGTGATTTCCTGGATTCTTTCCCCCCCATTCTGTCTCTCATAGTTTAGGTGTACCTAGGATGAAAATTACAGGCCTCTCATCTTTTTAAGTGGGAGAACTTGCACAATTGGTGGCTGACTAAATACTTTTCTGCCCCACTGTATAGGTATCAGACTGTGCTGTACTGGTGACAGCAGAGATCATCAGAAGAATTATCAGAGTGGAGTTAGCAAAGTTTTCCACCTTGACTTCCTTGCAGATGCGCTCCATCACTTCGTCCGACAGCCGGCCGCTCCTCTCCAGTTTCAACCCAGGCGTATGAAGCAGCTTCACGTCTCTCTGGTCCAAAATCGTTGTGGTTTTTGTTCCACTGGATGACACCGGCTTCCTCATCCTCTTTCTTTCCAATGAGAGCATATACGGCTTTATTCTTCTCCTTTTCCTTTTTCTGATTTTGTCCGGTGCCGTTGATCCCTCTGTGTGTTCAGGTGGAGCGGCACTGCGAGCAGAAGACAGTGAACGCCTCAGAGGTGTTTCAGCCTCGTCACTCTGTTGCATGGCAGGATGAGGTGTATTCTTTCTCTGAGCGGTGTTAGGGCTCTTGGGGGTTTGGGTCTGTCTTCTTCTTCTGTTTCTTCTCGGGACAGTGTGCAGCTGGCAGGCCTCGGTGCGGCTCTGAGCGCCCGTCTCCGCCTCTTCACAGGCGGAGCAGCTGTCCATGTAGTGCTCGAAGGACTGGAGTAAGGTGTACAGCGTCTCGTTCACCTCCCCCTCCCCCTGCTGCTGCAGAATGGGGGTCCCAGGGTTTGCTACGCTGGGGCTGCCCCCTCCTCTCGCTACAACAACAACCCGTGGGGACCCATTGGAGCCTGATTGGTTTTGTGTCACAGTATTTCCACAGGAGGCCACGTCGCTGCTGCGGGTTAGAGGAGGAGGCTGAGGCTGAGGAGCACCGTTGTTTTTTAAAATATCGAGGTCGTTCATCGCTTCCTCCAGCAGACGTTCAATGTGTTCGGACTGTTCCTCGTGAGGGGGAAGACGCGGGGGCCTCCCTCTCCTCGGCCGCCCAACGGGAAGACCGTTCTGTTGGGAAAAGAATGTATCAATTGAAAAACAATAAAAAGTACTAATGCACGAGGTCTTGAAATGTGTCATAAAGTGCTTTTAGATTTCTACAGTGAGGATACAATAAGTTTGATATCTGAGTTGTTTTCCTCTTCGAGCTAAATGATTGGTCAGAACTCAAGGGACATCTTGATTAACCAATGACACTGACAAAGATGTGGAGGGCTGTAGTTAAAAAACACATTTTATTCATCACACTTTCTGTTATTTATGTTTACAAAAGAAAATGTGATTCCTTGGTCATTTATCAGGATTTTAAACGATCCTCCTGATTAATTTCTATTAAAAATCTAAATATAATATTTCAAGGTGTAAAATGCTCTCAAACTGACAAGGGAGACTGTTTTCATATTCCATTTAAGTTGTTATGTTAAATAACTTGTGTTTTTAAGTATGCATTTTATGCCCCTTGTAGCACTTTGGGATTGCTTTTAGAAATGAAAGGTGCTTAAACAAATCAAATGTATTTTTATTATTATTATTAATGTTATGATTTGATTGTGTTAGAAGAGGACAGCGTTACGTCTGTACTCACCGGGTTAACCTCCTGCGTTGTTCTCTTCCTCCCACGCTGCGTTTGACCTCCTCTCTCCCCTTTGTATGGTAGCACGTCTCCCACCCCCCACACTTTGCCGGGCCCTCTTTTCTTTGTTGACTTCAGGAGCTCTCTGGGCTTCAGGAACAGCTTCCTGCCTGCAGCCCCTCCGCCCTGTCCCGTCCTGGGCGTCCCCCCCAAGACCCTCTGCAGGAACAGCTTCTGCAGCCTGCTTACCCCCACCTCCTGCACCTCCACCATCTGCGTCAACCCTCCTCTCCCCCTCCCTCCCGTTCCTGCTTTTGGTCTCCTGGCTCTCCTCTCTCCTGCCCCCCCTCTCCTGGCACCTCCCTCTCCTGCGCCCCGCCTCCTTCTTGCTCGCCCCCTGCCGACGCCCTCCTCCTTGTCCGGGTTCAGGAAGTGCTGAATGTATCCTGTGATGTTGCCATCAAACTGCTCCAGATTCTGGTCCTCCCATTCGTTAGCTGCTGCTGCTTCTCCGGCTGGCTCATGAGGGGCGGCCCACCAGCTCTGAAGCCCAGCAGCACAGGGGGGCCCTTGGCTGGAAAAAGGAAGAAGAGTCTGGGGGACAAAGGTGTGCTGAGGTGCCAAAATAGACGTGAACCCAGCTGCTGAGGTGGATTCCTGCATGGAGTCCTTGAGGGCATATGATAATTGTTGTGTTGGGTTTTCATTAGGTGGGTAGACAAGGGATATGGGAACGTAGGGAATTTGAGGGGGAACAAAATGGGAGGTGGTCTGTCCTAAACTCTGAAAACAGGCTATATCGATGGTCTCAAGGGGGGCTGCTGGTTGATAAGCGGGAACCAATTGCTCTTGCAGCTCCTCTGTTTGAGTCCATGAGTCTTTTCTACCATCTGACAGTGTGTCTTTCCACAGAAAGGTGCTCCCATCCCTCACCTCTCTCCTCCACCTGCCCCCTCTCCCTTCATCCTCCTCAGGCATCAGCAGCTCCGTCTGCACCCCTGCCTTGGTGTGCCCCCCGTCTCCTTTCACACTGCCTCTCTGAAGTTGTCTTTTTGTGACCTCCACTAGCCCGTGGATGCCAAGCTTGGCCGCAGCAGAGATAGCTTCCTGCTTCTCCTTCTCCCCCTCGCCTGCCATCTCCCCACAGTACAGCAGTCGGACCATGTGGAGCAGGGTGCAGGCGCCTAGAGCCCCAAACTCCAGGAGACGGCTCTGTCCTGCAGGGGGCTGTGGCGCAGAGGACAGAGTGGAGGAGAAGTGGGTGCTGAGAGCGGACAGGACACAGCTGTGAGCCGGCACTGAAATACCTGCAGGACAGGACAGGTGTCAGTAATGATAATAGCTTCCACAACTACATAAAACCATATGAGATGGTCTATCTGCAAACCTTCTATGTGCTGATTAAAAGATGACACTATAAAGGTAACAGTGTTTTTGTGAGTGTTTTTATACCTTCTGTCTTGAGCAGGGTGTCACAGAACTGGCTGCACTGTTGCTGTCTCTGCAGCTCGGCGAGGAGGAGGGCTTCAAACCCCGGCTTCTGGTAGCACCACATCTCCCCATCTACGTCTGAATAAAATAGTGGCCTAAGCAATACAAACATCATCAGTCCATATGTATTAATTATGACAACATACATTACACTGACAGTCCTTTTTGATCATTACTCTTTGTTGTAATGATCTGATCTATTATGACTATCAATTCTGTGATAATCCAGAATAATATTAGTTGTTTTCTGTTTCTTTGTCATTTTCTTCTTTTTGTCTTGCTGAATTTCTATAAAAAACAGACACACACCCCCTTCAAAAATAAAAGCCATATAGATATAATGTATCCTTACAGGAAGTGCAGGAACAGGGATGTTTGTTCAAATTAAAAGCCTAGAATATTACTGTATCCAAACAAGAAGCTTACATTACTCAGCTCTGGACATTGAGGGTATACATTTTGTTGTCTATACATTTTTAAACCTTTATTTTCAATATTAAGTTGCATCGCTATTTTCCTACTCAGTTTCAAGTTGTCCAACAGTCATTGCATTTGAGCTTTAACAATTTTGATTAAAATAATTTCACTTTTCTGCATTTTTCCACTAAGTTCAGCAACACACTTTCTGTGTTGTCGCCAAAAGCAGCTACAGACACAATTCAACTAATACAATATTAAACTTTTTCTGAATTTTTAACTAAGACAGTTAACAAATTTGCGCAGCTTGCAGCAGGGCCAAATTCAGCATATACATTGGGGGGGGGACACACATCCCCCCCAATATTCAGATACGCTCAAAATGTCCCCCCCAATATATAGCTATAACTGATATACATTTTTTTTAAATGAAATTGCTATTCTATGACTTTTTTATTTTGGCTATTTGTATACTTGAAAACCTTTATTTTCTGTTATTGTGAACTTCACCAAAATGATATATTCTTTTCATATGTAAATTGGTTCCGCCTTTGTTTGTTTATGCATACCTTTTATTTTGTACCCGGGGGGTATATTTCGCTGTATCACGTCCGAGTCCAGCTTCAGTTAGCGTTGATGCTCCATGCAGGTCAGTCATGTTTTAATTTGCCCTCCATCAGTTCTGGTATCTTTTTCTACTTAGCCCTAAAGTAATCTATATTATTTTATTTCATAATGGTAATGTAGGTAGGGATTATTGTGCCGTGGACCGAATAGGGGAGTGGGCGTGCGGAGACTTGTGGAGGACGACAAACCGAGGATACTTTGGACTACGATGACATATTCTAAGCAAAAGAAGTTTCAAACATGAAACAACCAGCTTGGGACGAATAACATGTCAGCTAGGAAACCTGATGTTTCGAAGTCGATTTACGGTACATAGGACGATTGCAGTTGACATCTGGGTCTAAAATGGAAAAAGGGGATACGTATGGAATAATGTTTAGGAGGGGCGATCGATTGATAAGGACTTTTTCAAACCAAAATTGTAGTCTTGTGTGTCGAATAGAAATGTGTTTGCTTCGATGGGCTTGGGCCT